AGTTTTCAGTTCCATCTCCCTCATGTTGGCTTTGGGAGGAAGAGGTAGCATTGAGGGATACCTACAGCATCCCTGGATGCTGAATAGTCAAGAGATATTCAGACTTCTTGAAGGGCAGGGGAAGCTCTGCTGAAGAGTTTTACCTTGGTGCTGTGTGAGCTGTGACTTTGCAGGGGCTTCCTCTGAAATGCCCCCAGATGCAGGGTGGAGGGATTTCACTCCTGTGTTTCCCTGAAACTTGATCAAGAATGATGTGTTCCTGAAAAATGGTGGCTGGCAATATGCTCAGAGCATATTTACACATTATGCTCAGTTCTTGGTGTATTTGGTACCAACAGTTCCAGCCTTTATTTCCTGTTAGCCTTTGTGGTTTTAAATTAGATGCAATTCAGTTTTTTCACAGCTTCTGAACCCTTTTGTCTGGGGAATTGTGGCTTTTTGCCAGCCCTGCAGGTGTTTGCTGTGGTATGAAAAGCTAATTTCTCACAGTATCCTTGCTTTGACCTGGTTATCTGCTCTCCCACAAACAGTTTTAGCAAGTGACAAACTGATCAATATACTCACTTGAAAAATTATTTCTGGTTAAGAAAGAGGACCTTTCCTAGGTGTGCTTCTTGAATAACCTTGTTTTATTTTCAAGTGACTGAATTTTGGCATTTTCCAGTCTTCTGGATGTTAGATGTCCCTGCTGAAGCCACTTGAAACAGGACTTCATTCCCTTTGGTTTCTCTGCAGGAAAAAAACCCCAAAAGTTGGCAGCAAGGTAGAGATCTCCCTTTGTTCTTGGTGAGGAGTTTGGTGACTCCTTTTGCTTCACTCATAGAATCATAGAATGTCTTGGGTTGGAAGGGACCTCTAAAGGCCATCTAGTCCAGCCCCCCTACAATAAGCAGGGACATCTCACACTAGAACAGGCTGCTCAGAGCCCCATCAAGCCTGACCCTGAATGTCTCCAGGGATGGGGCCTCCACCACCTCTCTAGGCAACCTGTTCCAGGGATCCACCACCCTCATAGTAAAGAACTTCTTCCTAATGTCCAACCTCAATCTGCCCTTCTCTAGCCTGAAACCATCACCCCTTGTCCTATCATTACATGCCCTGGGAACAGGTATTCCTATAAGGTTCCCCTGGAGTTTTCCTGTCTTCAGGCTGAACAACCCCAGCTCCCTCAGCCTGTCTTCATAAGAGAGGTGCTCCAGCCCTCTGGTCATTCACTTAGTTCATTCTTCTGTGCAATGAGGTAGTTAAGGGGCAACATCCTGGAGTTCTGGTCATGATCTAATCTTTCCTGCCCCCTCTCAATGACTTAGATGAGTAAGTGCTGCTGGAAAATGTTCCTCTCATCCTCAGCCCACTCCCAGCATCACTGCAGCCACAGCCTGACAACAGTACAGGGCTGGGCACAGCTGAGTGCAGTGGAGATGAAATTTTGCTGGGGGTTTTCTTGTTTGCTTGCCCATTGTGGGCTCTTGCAGACAGAGAGCATCTCTGAAAGGCTGAAACTGGACACGGGGGCTTCTTGAGCTGCTTTTTGCAGTTGTTCCTGGAGTCCCCTCAGTTGCACAGGCAGCCTCAGTGCTTTCTCAGTTGGCAGCTGAGAGAAAGAGCCAAGATTTCTGCAGTGCTTTTCAGCTTTTGTCTCCCTAAGGATGGGCAGACACAGCTGTGATTAGCATGGGCTTCCTGTGTCCTGGAGTAGACTCAGCAGCACCACACTGCAGGTGGTTTGCTCAGTTCTGCTGGGAGCAAAGCTGCTGTGGTTGGTACCTGTGGGTACTGCTGCTGTTCCTACAAGCCCTTCCTTCTTTTGGGTTGTTAACTGCTCAGGTACCTCCCTGGCTGTGCAAAGATGGACATAGCAGAGGAAAGTGTGCCCCTCTAAGCACTGTCTGATGGAAGCTCACACTGTTATGGATCTGGGCATTAACTAATGTTTCTGTGTTTTGGTGCTGGGCAGTTCAATCCACAGATGAGAGTGTGGCCTGAGTTCTGCAGATGTTGTACACGTTTACCATGTCCTGCACTAGTAGCTAGGCACCACTAAACAACCACCAGTTCAGTCCAACAGCCAGTGCCTCCTGCAGAGCCAACTGGGAGGCTTAAACCTCTTTGGCTGAGTAAACTCAGCAAGTCTCACTTGACTGATCCAAGTCTGAACTTGCAGTCCTTCCCTTCCTTCCTGCAATCCACATAATCCCATTTACAGCTGTAAGGCATTTCAGTGACCCACATCTGCTGACAGCTTGAGCAGAGACAGGATTGAACTTGCTTTGTATCTGACCTGGATCCGATGCTCAGCTGATGTTATGGGTCTGACATTTTTATTCTAACCTGGCTGCAAATGCAAGAGTTGATTTCCCTTAAACTAAGCACATCTCCTTTGATATCTGAATCATAGAATCACAGAACAGTTTGGATTAGAAAGGACCTGAAAGATCATCTAGTTCCAATCCCCCTACTTGGGCAGGGACACCTCCACAACACCCCTGGGCAACCTGTTCCAGTGTCTCACCACCCTCACGCTAAAGAACTTTCTTAATGTCTAATCTAAACCTGCCTTCTTTCAGTTTAAAACCACTACCCCTTGTCCTGTCATTGCATTCCTGAGAAAGAGTCCCTCCCCATCTTTCCCTTTAAGTACAGGAAGGCTGCTGTGCTCTTGTACATAGAGCAGTGATTTAAATGGAGGTGCTGGTTTTATGGTGGAAGTTGCATCTCTCTAAAAGGCTGAGCAAAGATCAGCTCCTGTTCAGGTCAGGAAGAGGCACACATAGTGTGTTCCACAAGCTCTGTCCCACTTTCAGTGGTGCATTTGTGCCTGGAGGGTATCAGTGATAACTAGCTGCAACTGGCTTGGAAAAAGGATGCCAGGACAGAGTGCCTGTGCACAGCAGTGCCCTGAAAATCATTGTACAAGTTCCCCCATGGCAGGGTCATAACATGACAATGCAGACATGTATGTACCTGGTCCCTCCAGCCCAGTGTCTTTCCTCAGGCAGTGAACAGAGAGGACATGGGACCAGGGCAGACTGATGATGGTAAATCCCAAGAGGCTGTTTGTTGGCTTCCAGCTGCCTCCAGCCCTGGTGTCCTGGTTTAACTCTAGGCAGCAAGAGAGCACCACACAGCTGCTCACTCGCTGCCCCCCCGACAGTGGGATGGGGGAGAGAAATCAGAAGGAAAAAAGTGACAGAACTTGTTGTTTGAGCTGAAGAGAGTTTGGTAGGTGAAGCAAAAGCCACACATGCAAGCAAATCAAAGCAAAGCAAGGAATTGGTTCACTGCTTCCCATCAGCTGGCAGGTGCTCAGCCATCTCCAGGTGAGCAGGGCTTCATCACATGTCATGGTTACTCAAGAACACAAATACCATCATTCCAAGCATCCCCTCCCCCCTCCTCCTTCTTCCCCCAGCTTTATATGCTGAGCATATGGTCTGGAATATCCCTTTGGTCAGCTGGGGTCAGCTGTCCCAGCTTTGTCCTCTCCTGGCTTCTTCTGCACCCCCAGCCTACTCTCCGGGGTGAGAACCTGTGTAAGCACAGACACCCCTGGAGTATCAACACTGCACAAACCCAGAGCACAGCCCCACGCTAGCACAGCTGGGACACGTCTGATTTGTGTCAGCAGTTCCCAGAGCACGTCCCATCCTGACAGGAGCAGTGTGGGGGGCTGGGTGTCTGCAGGAGCTGGGGTCCCTCGGCATCGTCTGTAGCCGATAAGGGCTTTTTGAGGAGGATCCCAGAGGGGCTTCTTGCTGCTCCCGTGTGAGGAAGGAGGGTGGGACTGCTGGGGCAGCACCGGGCCTCTCTCCCCTCACCCTGCCATGCTCCCCGTGCAGAATGACATCTACGAGTGGAGCAGAGACCACCGTGTGCACCACAAGTACTCGGAGACGGACGCGGACCCGCACAACGCCCGGCGCGGCTTCTTCTTCTCGCACATCGGGTGGCTCTTCGTGCGCAAGCACCGCGACGTCATCGAGAAGGGCAGGAAACTGGACTTCACCGACCTCCTGGATGACCCGGTCGTCAGGTTCCAAAGAAAGTGAGTGGGAGGACTGGGGTCCTCACGGTGAGGCAGGGTGGAGAGGGCCTGGTGGTCCAGTCGTGGCTCGTTGCTTATTATCTTCTCCCTTTTCTCCTGCTGCCACCCTGATTGCAGGCACTGGGGCTGCTGTCTCTCTGCTCCCCACTGTGGCCAAGTGGTTGGCACTGGCTGACTGTCCTTGCAAGCTCTGCTGCACAAGCAGTGAGCCCTGTCCTTGTCCCCCTGCTTTTTCCAAAAAAGCTGTGGCTGGCTGTGAATGAATCACAGAATCCTAGGGGGTTGGAAGAGACCTGGAAATATCACCCAGTCCAACCCCTCTGCCAGAGCAGGGTCACCCAGAGCACACACAGGATCCAGGTGGATTTGAATGTCTCCAGAGAAGGAGACTCCACAGCCTCTCTGGGCAGCCTGGCCCAGGGCTCTGTCACTCTCACAGGAAAGAAGTTCTTCCTGAGATTCACATGGAACCTCCTGTGCTCCAGTTTGCACCCATTGCCCCTTGTCCTATCACTGGTCATCACTGAGAAAAGCTTAACTCCATCTTCCTGACACTCACCCCTTACATATTTGTAAACATTGATGAGGTCACCCCTCAGTCTCCTTTTCTCCAAGCTCAAGAGACCCAGCTCCCTCAGCCTTTCCTCATCAGGGAGATGTTCCACTCCCTTAATCAAGAAGCCACAGCAGAAGTAGCTGGGATCTTGGGCTTCGTCCTTTCATCACTGAAGCAGAAGGCTGTGATCCCTGACTGCCTTGATGTGCACAACTCGTTCTGCAAACTCATGTTGGGCACCTGTGGCCCAGTGCAGAGGAAGTGCTTCCTCTCCCAGGACTGTCATTCTTCACAGGATTAATTATCTCCCTTGAGAATTAGCACAGATCTAGTTCGGTTTCCTACACGCTCTGCAAGAGGTGGGAATTGGGAATGCTTCATCTTCTAACTGAGTATGTGTGTTTCAGGAACAAGACAACTGTCTCTGTCTGCAAGCATTTAGTCCAGGTGCTTTGGCATACCACATAGCTCATTTCTAAGTGTTTTATGGGTGCTAGGAGCAGTCAGTTGAGTCCAGAAATCATTTTCATTCTTGCATAAGAAATCCCTGTATTTGCATGAGAAATTCTGCTGTATCAGAAGAGCTCCAGGAGTGAGGCGTTCACTGCCCTCCACATACTGTTGCTTTTATTGGTTCCTCAGTTGGCAGTGGCTGTTTGCAAAGGCTCCCTTGCAGTTTGTTGCAGCTCCTCTTTGTAGTGTTACTACCTTTTCCAGGACAACAGCATCCCATGAAAAGCAGGCTCTCCTGCTTTGGTTGTGCTGCAAATGTTACGTAGTGGAGAAGTGTGTTTTCTGCAGGGAAGTTAAGCCTGAGCAAATGTCTCTGCTCTGGTTTTGAATTTAGGACTTTGGTGTTTACCTTGCCTTACCTGAGAAGAAAAATTCAGGTTCCTCCTCTCTATAAGGTTGAAGTGGTGGTGGTTTTGGCAGCATGGAAAGCCTGTCAGGTCAGATCAGTAAGAACCATCATAAACCCTTCTCTGTCACGTTCCGTTTTAAGGCCACATTGTTAACTTTGCTGAGTTTAGTGGTGCTGGAGAGCTGTGGGTGAGGTACCACTCCACCAGTTTACAATCACATCCCTTCAGCTGAAATCACAGTGCTGCTCCTGGCATGACAGCAAAAATTACCCTCTGTGAATAATGGAGCAGTAATGGAACAATAATCCTGCATGAGATGTGAAGGAGAGGCTCACAGGTGAAGTGTCTCCATGGCCAAGTTTCCATGGGGTGAAGGCAGCACTGTTCCTCAGGCATGTATTGAGACATTGGTTCCCCTGAACTCCAGGTAAGGAGGTTTCTCATTCCAGGGTGGGTGTTGCAGTCCAAGAGAGACGGAGAAAACATAGTCAGGTGTTCATTCAGATGTGAGATCCCATGTCTTCTTCATCAAAGACTTCAGTCTGGGCTTCTTGCATCTCACAGAATGGTTTTGATTGGTGCCTGTTCATCTGTTTTCATATTTTGTTATTTCCCTGAAGTGAGAGAGGCTTTGAACTTTGAAGGAGTTTTCTGGACTGGAAAATATTTTTCTTCTCTAGCTCTACTTAAATCCTGGCCTTGAATTGATGAGTTTTGCAAACCTTACCCACAGACTGGTTCAGAAGTCAGTCAGATGAGTGGGAAATTATCTTTGGTGGAGCAAAGAATGGGGACTGGTTTTCTTTGGGGAGTCTTGGTTCAGGTAAGTGAAGACAGTGTTCTAGGAGGGAGCTCAGGAGATGCTTTTTTTTCACCATGGTTGGTGGTGCTGGAGAGCTGCAGATCTCTTTCAGGAGCCCAGTATGTGAGGCACAACCTCCAAGCAACACCAAAAAACATCAAGAAGAAACTTGCAGGGCAAGAGGTTAAGAGGTCAAGAGGTTTCATAGACAAGATTAGCAAAAGTAGCTGCTGGAAACCTTCTTCCTTCAAAAAATACTGCTAATATTACAATTTTTCCAGTACTCTGAGCTTTAATTCAAATGGTTGGTTTGTTTTTGTCAAACCAAATTGGCAGCTTTTCCTAACTGAAAAAAACTTTCAGCAAATGGAAAGTTTTAATAACTGTTTAATGAACCCAAGCTGTGTTCTTCCTCATCCATTCCAGAAAACTCAACAAAAGCAGGGCTCTATTTTAAACCTGTCATGCAGGCCCAAATAAGACATGTCTGTCTTTCTTTCTGCACCCTTCAAACCTTGTCACCTCAGCCTACTGCTCCAGCTTCATGTGGGAGCTTGCTTTGATGGTGTCACCCCAGGATCACTGTGGGATGTAGTAAATCTGGGCTTCAGGGGAGGTGGAAGGGATCAACAGGGAACATGGGGCCTTGTTTCCTCTCATGCTGAGGACTCAAGTAGGTGGCTCCCAAGCTGCCTTGTCCTGCTGCTCTCTGCTTCTCAGCACTGCTAGCCCCTTCTCCATTTAGAATAATTTCTTTCCCATCTTGCTTTTGGCTTTGGCTTCCTGCTTTTTACTGAGATGCTCCTTTTCTCCACTTGCCTGTTTCTCCTGCTCTTCACCTCTGTGCTTCCTGCATCCTACACTCTTCTTCCCTGCCTTGCCTGGCCATGTGGCTTTAGCTGTACTATAAAGCTTTCCTGTTTGTTCCCACTGTTTGGCTTCCTCCCTCCCTGTTTTTCACTGCACACTGAATTTTTCCAATATATGGAGGAGTGGCAGAGCTTGTGCCCAGCCAGTGGGCTTGCAGAACAGCAGTAATCCTGGTCCCCAGGTGAAGAGGCATCTTTCTCCTCATCCTTGGAGGATGCTAGTGGTCTCTCAGCAGCTGCTTTGGGTCTGCCACCACTGTTGGAGCTCACACAGCAGTAGTGGCATAGAAAGGAGCTACTGCTGCCCTGTGCTGCAGGTTCCCTTCTGATCTGGGCACAGGGGAAGTCTTTGCCACCTCTTAGTAGGGAACACATTTCCAAAACAGCTCTGTGGATGCCACACCAAGCCCCGCGCTTTTCCTGTCCCAGAGCCAGACCCTGGGTGCAGGGTGTGCAGCCAGCTCTGTGCTTCCCCACCTCTAAAGGTGCTCACCTTGGGAGGTTGACTTGAGTCAACCTGAGTGAGCTGAGGCTCGAGTCTCAGCTGTCCAGCTCCAATGTTACCCGGTGCTTCGGGGTTTCGGGTTGTCTTGGCATTTTGAATTGGAAAATGGAAAAACTGAAAATTGGAAGTGGAGAAATTATGCCACGGTTGTGGATGTCTGAAATGTCCCCTGCTGCCCTGGTTATGGGGCCAGCCCAGCTGACACCAGGGGTTCCTGGCAGAGCTGCATCTCCAGAGATCCAACCCCGCCTCCCCCCGTCGCTCCCACGGTGGTACCGATGTCCCTTTTTCTTTCCCGGCAGGTACTACAAGAGTTCAGTGGTGCTGATGTGCTTTGTGATCCCGACCTTTGTGCCGTGGTACCTCTGGGGGGAGAGCCTGTGGAATGCCTACTTCCTTGCCTCCATCCTGCGCTACACCGTGTCCCTCAACGTCACCTGGCTGGTCAACAGCGCCGCTCACATGTACGGCAACCGCCCCTACGACAAGTACATCAACCCCAGGCAGAACACCTTTGTCACTCTGGGAGCCATTGGTAGGTGCTGCAGCCCCGGGTACACCCCTCTCTTCTGAGGGAGGTGAATCCATGGCAAATCCCCCCGGAGGAACCTTGTAACAAAATGGGTTATTCAGAGCTGGCTGCTTAGATGCTCATGGAGAGAGAAGTTATTGCCTTAGAGTGACTACTCCTGTAACAGGGGAATGGGAAAGTGGCTGGGGTTTTGTAACCCTTTCACTGGTAGGAGAAAAGGAGAAGGAGAAAGAAAGATGAAAAGGTAGATGAGAAGATAGGACAGATGTACCACCAGGTCCTGGTCTGTGGGTGGGTGGATAAGGTTATGGCGCTTTCACCCCTTTTATAACGTTCTGTCCCCCAGGAACCACCCTCGGGGTGCAGTTGAGCTTCTGCACTTCTGCAGGTCATCATTCTAGAAGGTACTGGGGTCCACAGCTGCTCAATCAAACATTCCAGAGAGTTCTGGAATGGGGTTGGGGGCTGCTGTTTCCAAGGGAAGCCCTGGTGGTTGGCACGTGCCCAGAGCTGGGTATTTGCCAGGGGAGATGAGCCAGACAGGAGCAGGGAGAGGGGGGTATCCTGCCTTCCCACCTGCACTGTTCATGCTTGCCTAACACAGAGCTCCCTCCTGAGTTGTTTGAGACACAACAAAGGATGCTGTGGTTCCACAGACCCTTGCAGGTTTCTGATAGTCTCTGACAACGTGGTGTAGCTTTGCAAACTCAGAGTGACATCCCATCCTGTTTTGCCCTGGTCAGGGCTTTGGGCACCTGCAACTGGACACACTTGGAGCCAGTGTTTGGAGGAGGCTACAGCTTGTGCATCCTAGAGGAAGGCTTCCTTGTTCTCCTGATGATGTCCACATTAAAACAAAGCCTTGTAGTCTCTGGGCAGAGATGTGTTCAGGATAGCAATCCTCTTTCCTCAGCTGGGGGTCAGCTGGGGACAGCGCCGCAGAAATAAGTGACTCTGCTTCATACTTTGTGCATCTTCCTTCTTGAAGCACTTCCTGTTTTCTTCCCTGGGAGTCAGGGGGTAGGACATGCCTCTTCCTACTGGGAGGAAAGCCCTAGAGCACTGAAATGGAGTCTGCTGTGGGTCTGCCCCAAGAGGTCTCCCACAGCCAGGGGTGGAGCATAACCTGCTTTGGAATTAGGACTTGGGAAGTGGTTCCATAGCCAGGGGTGGAGCATAACCTGCTTTGGAATTAGGACTTGGGAAGTGGTTCCATAGCCAG